TTGTAAGTTGCTAATAAAACAGTGCTCACTCGACTAAGTTTTACTACATTATTTATTACCGAAAAACACCTGGACTACGTGGTGCTTACAAAAAAGTCAATGTAAAACTTTTAATTGGTCTCCGAGATGTTCAGTGCAGAAACCGACATTAAGTTGAAACCAAAACGAATTAGTGCAAATTCCCACGCGTTTGATATCACGTATTCGATGTAAATTTTCACGCGCTTGGAGCTCTTTCTAGATGAATTGGGTTAAATGGAACGGGAACAAAAGGATAGCTTATACAGGAGCAGGCAAGAATTGGTTTTGCAGATAATTAGTAGAGCTAGAACTAGAAAGTAAGAAGATCTGTCCATTCAAGCTGTAGCAATATGCACAGTGGGGAATGTGCGACGCTCCAGGAAAGCCGAAAAATACAATAAAAGAAGAAATAAATAGCGACGCGCATCAAGAAAGCTGGTATGGTTATGCGTTTTGCGCAGTTCTATCGAGCAAGCGTTTGCGTACTAAGGATTTTCGCTGCTTTGCACTTTGGTTTGTGCAAAAATAGTTGAAATGTTCTTAAGCTGCAGAATTCCCCTCTAAAAGTTTCACGTGCCGGTGTGTGGAAGCTGAAACTGAAACCTTAGAAAGTGAATATCTTTCCAAAATTTCAATCCTTCAACAGAAAACAAAATTCTCAACTGGTCGTATTTGAAATCTCGGCATAACTAGGAACTGAATTTGAGTTTGTGAAGCTCCTGTTCAGGCAGAAAATTTCCGGCCTCCTAGTTCTGGCTCCCAAGATAATAATTTTTCTCGCCAAAACTTTCAAGAGGACATTTAGACCCAGGCGTGCGTGAGAGCTGAATTTGAATTTGTGGGGTCATACGTGGGTAGGGGACACTATCCCAAAATTTCAGCTCCATAGTTTCCGTAGTTCCCGAGGTAATAATTTTCCCACTAAATCTTTCACAGGGTCGTACGTGATAACAAATGTAGCGTTTCCGAAAACCACTAGTAGTTGTCCTTTGTTTTGCGTTTCTGCATGTTTATGCAAACGCAAGGACGCATATTGTCAAGAGGTGGTGTGTGTGTGTGTGTTTGCATTTTGTCACCCGCTTTCATCTCAGCTTCTTAGTTTTGCTGATTGAACTCTCCCTTTTTGAAATTAACAGTCACGTACAGGGCTTAAAAGAAATCGTGAAAAAGTTTTGGCGGGGAAACGGGCCCGGAAATTAGGCAAGATGGCTGTCTGGAATTCCAGATGCCCCCTGTCTTTGCGCAAGCTAAAGATTTCAAACTTCAGCTACTGTGCATGCCTATGTCAAGCGCACGGACGCATCAAAGTTGAATTTGAGAAAACGTTGGCAAAGCGCCAATGTAGTTGGAGTGCCTTGAGTCATGTGCGGGCAGGTAAGCATAAAGCGAACGCTGATGTATACCTCTATCAGTTTACCTCATTCCGACATTTTCAGTTGCCATGCCTACCTGACTGATTTATGCTTTTCGAATTCTGGTAAGGACCTACCTGTACTTTCTGGTACTAAATGCTGGCTCACAAACGCACCACCTCTAAACACTATTAATTACAAATTGGGCGAGGTAAAGTCTATCATCTTTACGGTTCTTAATGAGGTATATGTTCGCCTTACGGATCTATCTTCCATCAAACTCAAGGCGTGCCTATGGGAGGTAAGGCCAGTCCCGAAATCGCCGATTTAACTCTTTCTATAATGGAATATCGTTATTTAAAGGCGCACAGAGATATCAGTTTACGATTGTTTCGACACATTGACGACATCCTCGTAGTTAATAATCCTGATTTCCCTGCCACTGCTCCAGACATATGGTGCTACGCTGGAACTTAAGAGTGCCTATTCAGGACAAAGGAGTTGTTTTCTTGATTTGGAAATCTCTTGCCATAGCACTGTCTGCACCTTCGATGTCTATAACAAGGCGTTGGACTTCTCCTTCCCGGTAAACTTCTATAATGCTCCGGATAGCGATGTCAGTCGAACTTTACTTGAGGGAATTCTCATTTCCCAAATGCTGTGATACTCGCGTATCTGCACCTCTTTAGATCGATTTGTTTGGTAGGCCAGACGACTAGTTTCTGGGTACTTGGAAAGGGGTTACGACGCACTCAGATTAACTCTGTGCGTCCGCAGATCTGTTAATAGGTACACCGCTAACCTTGCTAAATACTATACTGTGATAATCATGGGATTAGTGTGATTTGCGCGTCGATACTATCTGGCGTTAGTTCAGCATAACATTATGTTGTTCCTCAATAGAAACATTGTTTTTATGCGTTTTTGCATACATGTAAATTGCAAAAACGCATATTGGGAAGAGGCTGTGTGTGTGTGTGTGTGTCTGTGTGCGTGTGTGTGTCTGTATGTTCGCACTTTTC